CCAGCGATACCTGTCACGGGGCTTGGTGTGGTTATTTAGTTGGGTTTCGATGTCCACATAATCAGACTGGGCGGTCATTGGGTTGTTGGTTTTCTTTGTCCACTTGTCCACAGGCATCTTCATCTGCCTCTTCTTCACTCATAGCAGTGTCACTGTCCTCTGATTCCATCTCAAAATCACTTTCTCCTTTTTGGATGGCAGCAATCACATCCTGCACACTGAATCGAGGACCTCTCTTTGCTGGTGGCATTCTGAAATGGAAAAAGTAATTAAAATATATGTATCAATAATACATATGCTTATTATATTGTAATAGATTACCTGAAGGAATAGATGGGGTGGTGGAACAAGTGTTCATTCTGTCTGGCTTAGACATCATACTAAAAGGAATGCATGCACCCCCCCTTCCAGGTGTCCCGATGCAATAAGCATCTGAATCCTATTTACATTGTACACTTGAGTCACACAATACTACCTGGCTTAGCCTATTATCATAACAAAAGGAATGCACCCACACATGCAGATAAACCAGTTCAACAAGTCACAAAATGCTGTCTGGCTAATGATAATAGGCTAATTATCATACTAAAAGGGATACATCCAAGTGTCCCGAAACATTTCAGAAAGAACTGTTTCTGCCAGAACCAGAAAAGAGTTAAATGTATTTTTGTAACTAATTAACTGATAAGATATAAGTAGAGTTTAAAATATTGCTACAGATATAATTTCACATACTGCTATCAGAAATAATGTATAAATGTATTCAATTCTGGTCTTAATTCAAAATCTTATCAGAGGACACATTTAGAAGTTAGTTATTGTGAATTATCAAATAGATTATATTTCTATTAGTGTTTTATTTCCATGTGTGAACATATAAGAAGGGCAATTTCCATGAAAGGGACACATGCCTTTTTTGACTACCACACTGACCCAGTGTTGTAATATTGCAACAAAGACATAAGCTGCTCAAAATCAAATGTGATGAATGTATTCCACAATAACTAAATATGTACATGTTCTAGACATTGTAATAAACATATATATTTGAGGCATTTTACTTACTTGAATCTGACACATCCAGTCCAATAAAACAAAGAGATGTTGCTCGTTTGAAGATTCGGAAGTTGTGTGAGTGTATGGCCAGAGGGCGGGACCTATAAACATATTTAATACCCAATAGCATTGTGACGCTGAACAAAAGGACCTTTTGACTCTGTCAATGTAATCTTTCAAAAAACAAAACATTTACTGACTTTTTTAGGATTACTTAAAGTAATGTTGTAAAAATAACAACTGGGGGCCTTACAGGGGACCAATTATTAAAAAATATAAAACTATGTGCTAAAGGAATAGTCAATAAAAAATGTTTGACATACAAAGATAAATTAGGAATTCATTAAAGTTATTTCAAAGCTGCTACTTGCGTGTTTTCTTCCTTTTAAATACATATGCTCAAAGGAGGGTGAGGCTCAGGAGGCTAATGTTTGACTAACACACACCGGAGCTTCAGGGGACCGGATGTTTAGCAGATGCTAATGCATTTTGATGAAACAAACAGCAATAATTATAATAATAACATATAGCTTACAATTCTACAGAAAGATGGGATTCAACAATGCAGGGTTATTTTACTACTATTCCACATTTAAATTGCAGGTCACTGATCGTTGATAGTTTTACAACGCAGACTCATAAATTGAAGTGAATTTAAAATGAACAAATGAAATGCATACACAAAGCCCATTAAAACAAGCAAGAACATAAACAACACAATCTAAATCCTGGTCACCACAGGGAGTGTCTGGGGATTTTACGTTTAACGGTGGTAATGCAGACCCTAGGGCCTAACCTTTCATTAGCAAGTTTACATATAAGTCCATGTTTATACAGTCTGCTCACACATCCTGCTAGCTGTCACGTGCTGTGTGCCTCACACCTGGATGAATTTTAGAAATGTTGGTTGATCTTGTGACTCTAACAGACATATTGGTGCAGCTCTTGAGCCAAAGACACATTTCTGATGCAGTTCTGTCTCCCTCTACTCATTCTGACAGAATTTAAAACGTACAGTAGTTAGTGGCCTGATAGTGCTATGTTCTTAATTTGTACCTTATAATCATTAACTGAATTCTTTATTTTAAAATCATTTTAAAGCAGATTTTTGGAGGTGCTGAACATGATGTATCGTAGCAGCAGCCGCCATGAGCTATGAGACTTTATGGAACAATGGTGTACACATTACACAACGGACCAACCACCTCTGGATATTTACTTTTTGAATTAAGTGGACATTTTAAGTGGGCATGAAAAGGTGTTTGTTGATTGACAAGTGTCATGGCTTATGACACTACTGCTGTGTCTGTAGTAAATACTTCTGTACACACACCTGACACACACACACACACACACACACACACACACACACACACAACACACACACACACACACACACACACACTAAATGAGCACATTGTGACTCTAAACCCGGATTTTATTTAAATTAAAATGTTCAGCTGTCATTAATAATGCCGTTCATGTTTTGTAAAAAGACTGTCATTACTAAAGCAAATTAGTTGTTTGCACTATTTAGCTGAAATGTGCATTGCAATAATCCTATTAAGCAGAGATAACTCAGTGTGTTACGTTTCTCCTGGTCCGACCGAATTTTGAAAACAACTTTACGTGGAATGGTGAGTTTGAAAACATCTATAGGCCTATCTATCTGTAGATGTCTTTCTGTCAAAAATGTATTAGCTAAAAGACCTGCTCACAACAAGTTAGCTTAGCGCTAAAGCTGCACGTGGTTTAGTTAACGTTACTTAACGGCTGATCATATGGTAACAAAACCGATTTAAAATGGCTTTTAAGAATGTTGCATATGAGTGATTCGTCACATTTATAACAGTAATTTAGCAAAATGTTCAAAGGAGCATGTCATTAAGGGGATATTAGCAGAGTTTAGCTAAAGTTCTGCAGAAGTTAGTGAACGTTGTACAGAGTTTAGCTAACGTTCTGCAGAGGTTAGTTAACGTTGTACAGAGGTTAGTTAACGTTCTGCAGTGGTTAGTTAACGTTGTACAGAGGTTAGTTAACGTTGTGCAGTGGAGTTAATGTATTTTTTTCGTTTTCTTTTCTAGTTATCATTTGGTAATAAACCCAATTCAAAATGTGTCCTTAGGTTGCACGCCTGCCGGATTATCTTCCGCTCCGACGAGCTGCACCCCCTCATCCTGGCCCCGCGCGGGGCTGTACGGTGAGTGGGTGAGCCAGCGCTGTGAGGTGCGCCCCGAGGTGCTCTTCCTCACTCGCCACTTCATCTTCCACGACAACAAC